AGACAGCCCTGCCTCAGCCTTTTGGCGACGGCTCAGCACCAAACAGCCACGTTCCCACCAACACCACAGATCCTCCATGGGACGGGACAACATGGCCCTTTAGACTCGATTCTGCCATAAACCTGCAACGGCTGTCAAAACCCCAGACCCCAGCCTGGTGATGAGAAGAACCTGAGGCAAATCCCAGCGGAGGGACCTCCTTCGACACACCTGACCGGCACTCCTCAATGCCGTCCGGGTCGCCAAAAGCAAGGCGCGTCTGGGAAACGGCACGGGGGAGAGGGCAGCTCCATGGGCTGGACACTAAGTAACGGATCAGGAAGTCTGAGCAAGCTGCAGCCGCTGGCGGATACAATGTATCGGCACGGAGCTCCGGCTGCTACAATGTAACTCCGTGTGAAAGGCTCCCAGGTGGAACTGCTAGTGTATGTGTGTGTGTGTGTATATGTATGTGTGTGGGGGGGGGGGAGGTATGTGAAAACTACCATCTGCTCAGCTTTTCTGTTCATCTAAACTTAAAAAATAAATGCTATTCATGAAAAAAAAAAAAAAAAATGAAGGCGTTGCCAAAACAGGTGTGGCTCAGTGGATAGAGCACCGGCCTGCAGACTGAAGGGTCCCAGGTTGGATTCCGGTCAAGGGCATGGACCTTGGTGGCAGGCACATCCCCACTGGGGGGTGTGTAGGAGGCAGCTGGTTGATGTTTCTCTCTCATCGATGTTTCTAACTCTCTATCCCTCTCTCTTCCTCTCTGTAAAAAAATCAATAAAATATATATATTTTTAAAAATGAAGGCGTTGACCATAAGTGCTCACACTGAGTACTCCGTGGGTACCAGGCACTGTATCTGGCTCAGATCCAGGCAACTCACTGAGCTTCCCTCAAGCACAGACTCGTCGCCGGCACGTCCTGACAAGCACTGGCGCTAAGTCCTTACTCATCACCTCTGCTTCTGGTTGTGTTTGCATCCTCGCCGGAGGGATCTTGTTCCCTGTGATTTTCAGAGAGCGGAAGGGAGAGGGAGAGACAGAGAGATGCATGGGTGGGTTGCCTCCTGCATGCCCCCATCAGGACCCGGGCCGGGGAGGAGCCTGCAACCGAGGTGCCTGCCCTGGATCGGAATCGAACCCGTTTGGCTCAATGGATAGAGCATCGGCTTGGGGATTGAAGGGTCCCGGGTTCGATTCAGGTCAGGGGCATGTACCTTGGTTTCGGGCACATCCCCAGTGGGGGGTGTGCAAGAGGCAGCTGATCGATGACTCTCACTCATCGGTGTTTCTAACTCTCTATCCCTCTCCCTTCCTCTCTGTACAAATCAATAAAATATATATTTAAAAAAAGAAAAGAGAACGGAGGAGCAGGCAGGTGATGACTACACCACAGAAGGAGTCCGCAGTCCAGGAGAGGCACAGCCTCTGGGATTAAGGTGCGAGGCCTCTCCCGGACGGGGGGGCCGTGAGGAGGAGCGAACATCAGTGCCCTCTGGGGAGCCCTTCCCGGGGCAAAGGACAAGCTGCAGAGCGAGCATCTCTATCACCACCCGAAACTGCAGCGTCAGCGGATACAATGTATCGGCACTGGGCTCCGGCTGCTACAATGTATAATATCTCCGTGTGAAAGGCTCCCCAGTGGAACTGCTAGTGTGGGGGGAAGTATGTGAAACTATCATCCTCAGGTGCCTAACATCCTACCCTAAAGGCCCATTTATTCCCCGAGTGGGGAGAGAGGGACACAGAACTGCTCCAAGGGCAAAGGGCAAAGGGCAAACGACGGGGACGCAGAGAAACCACTCGGTCCCAGGCAGCCAGCCTCCTGGGGAGCCCACACCCGCCCCCCTTCTCCGGAGAGCCCACTGGTTTTCCTGCCCCGACGGGTGCCGGCCACACAACTCCCATCTCTCAGTCCCAAAGCTCGTCCCCTCCCTCTCCCTTTAAGATTTAGGAGCCAACCAACAGCGAGAAGGCCGCGGTATTCACCCTCTAAGTCTGACTTTGAAATCCTTTCGTTAAGGGAAACCAGGACTTCCCAGAAGTCCACGCAGGTCATGGCCCCCCTGAGGCCCTGACCACCCGAGTCAGCACGGATCGGGGGCTGGTCACCAGCCGCCCCCCAGGCAGAAACCAACGGGCCCAGCGCCCCGGGACACCCAGTTCCGTTTGGAACCCACACGACAGGGTTCCTCCCTCCCGCAGAAACGGAACTGGACACGCAGGTCCCGGGAGGGGCTACCGGGGAGGAAACCAGGGCGGCCTGCCTGGAGGAGGCGGCGGAGGGAGGGGGACGCGGCGGCGCGAGGGGGCTGGACGGTGGGCCTCCCCTCTCCCCCTCCGGGGGGCCCCCGGGAACTCACCCCGGGCCCGGCGTCGCCCACGCGGTAGGTGAGCAGCACCTGGAGGCGCTCGCCGGCCGGCAGCGGCCGCGGGAGGCGCAGGCACAGCGCGCAGCCGTAGCGCGCGAAGGGCCGCGTGTGGAAGCCCACGGGCTCCTCGGGGCCCGGCGGCTCCCCGGGGCCCGGCGGCCCCCGCCGCAGCGCCGCCGCCGTCACCTCCAGGCTCGGGTGCGAGTCCAGCCGCAGCTCGGCGGCGCCCGCGGGCGCCCGGCAGCGCAGGTCCAGCACCGCCGTGCCGCTCAGCGTGCGGCTGGCGAGCTCGGCCCGCAGGTCCAGGTGCAGGTGCAGGACCTCGAAGTCCCGGAAGCTGGACGCCGAGGCCACGTCCTCCACCCGCGCCGAGTGCAGCGCCCGCCGGGCCGCGCCGCCGTCCGAAGCCCCGCCGGTCGCCATGGTGCCGGCGCCGACTGCCTGCGGGGAAAGCCGGCCCCGACCCGACCGGAGCCCGCGGCCCCGCCCCGCGCGCACTGCGCAGCCGCGGCCACGCCCCCACAAGGCCCCGCCCGGACCACACCTCCCCCGCGGGCCCCACCCCGAGCGCACTGCGCAGCCGCGGCCACACCTCCCGCGCAGGCCACGCCCCGGGACCGGCTGGCCACGCCCCCTCCAGCAATCTGAGCCGGGACCACACCCCAGGCCGGAGTTTTTCATAAAAGGAAACAGTATTCCATCATGTTTCCCAATGTCAAAATAGTTTTAATTTTATGCAATGCTTGTTGGCTTTTTAAAAACTCCATATAAGGCCAATTTCTCTCTTTTGGGGTGGTTAGTGGCTTCGGAAGGCTGTGGCGTTGATCACAGAGCTTGGTGCCCACCAGGCGTTCAACACCCGCCTGGAAACGACCCCTTCTCCGAGGCAAAGCGCTTCTGTGCACACGCACCGCCCGCAGCCCCGAGGCCGGTGCTGGGGACCAGGCTCCTGACCCCCCACAGCCCGCGGCCTGGGCTCGATAGGAAAAGGCCGTGCCGGTGCCCCCGGGGCTGGGCAGCGCCCGGGGGGGACAGGGCACTGTGTGGGCCCCAGGGACAGACCCCGCCTCTCCCCAAACGGCCTCATTGCTCTGTACCTGTAAACGCCCAGCACGTCACACACCTCGAACATTTCACAAGGAAGGGCTGGAGACCGTCCAGAACCGATGAAAAGCACGAGTTCATCGAGGTCACGGGGTACAATGCAGAAAATCAATCGTAGTAACCAACGGTACTTCTACTTAACGAAATCTGAAAAGCACTCTTCAAACGGCACCCTCAAACATGAAACGCCTAGGTGTAAACCTAATAAAATGTTGTGGGCGGGATGTCTGTGCTAAAAATGACGACACGCTGACAAAACCTAATTCCAACAGAATCCCAGCAGGTTTTCTGTAGACACTGACGAGCTCACGGTGAAATCTGTGAGGATCGGGAAGGAAGAGCCACAGCTGAGAGAGAACACGGGCAGAGGGAGGGCTCCGCTGCCCAATTCCCAAACCTACTGCAGTGACCGCGGGGAAAGGGTGGCTGGACAGGCAGAAGCCACAGCGGCCCCCGATTCACAGTTCACTGAGCACCTGTGTCACCTGCTCCAGCATCGGCCCAGCACAGCTCCCTCCTGCCCGCCCATCCTCCCTCCCCCGCCCCGACGGGCTACAGCTCAATTTCAGGCTCTGCTCCTGAGCAAGGAACCCACAGGCCGGTGTCCGGCTCGCGCAGAAAGCGCTGGTCTTCCTCCTTTTCCGGCTTTTCTCCCACCCGCCCTCAAACCAGGAAACTCACTTGTGCCCAAGGACGGCTCAGACACGCAGAACTGAAGATGCAGTTAACCAGTAAAATGGGAAAACCTGCGCATCCCCCGCCTCCCTCCCCCGCGCCAGGATCCACTCCGAGGGAACGCACGTCTGACCATCAGTGGCCGTCAGGGGTTAGGCCTGGACCAGCTCCGAATTCCCGCCCTCGTCTTTAAACCGCTCTCCTCCGCACCGGCCCCTCGGCACCCCCTCGGAATGCAAAGAGCTACAGACGGACAACAGACACGCCAGCAAGCACAGACCCGCAGCCACGAGGACGCAGACCAAAAGCAAGAGTCAGCCCCTCGCCCCTCTGGCTGGCTACCCTTCTGGAAAAGGAGAGAAAGTGCTGGCAAAGAGGTGAAAACTGGAGCCCCCGGCGTAGCTGCTGGGAAAGCGGCCGGCAGCCGCTGTGGGGACGCAGTGGTTCTTCCCGTGAATAGGGGCCGGGAAACCTGCTCCTGCGCCGGGCTGGCCGGGAGGAGGCCAGCTGCGGGGGTGTGTGTGTGTGTGTGTGTGTCAGCAGCCTCCCGGGGGGGCGTGGCCTCGGCCGGCCGGCCAGGGGACCGGCTGCGGAAGGACCCGGCGGCCTGCAGGGCCTCCTCTCTCTCACACACACACACACACACACACACACACACACACACGTGCGCCCAGGGAGACGCCGACCAGACCGCGGCCCCCGCAGGCTCTGTGTCACGGGCGAGTTGGAGGGGGAAGGCAGAGTCGGGGGCTTACGAAGGAGGAGCAAGCTCCGGGGTTTATTGTTGGACAGAGAGCACCCGTCCCCGAGGAGACAGATGGTGGCCCCGCTGGCCGCTGAGCCCCGTGGTCCTGCCTCTTCGTAAAGGGATCAGACGCCTACTGTGATCACCAGCGCTCTCCAGGGCGAATAAATAGTGGATCATCGCTCCCCCACCCCAAGTTCCTTTAAATAGGGAAACGCTACTGTCTCTTCGAGGCCGCCGGCCGCAGCTGGCCCGCCTCCGGCCGGGAACGGGCGTGCCGAGCCGCTCCTGCCCGCGCCCCGGCGGGGACGTCCTACTGGAACTGCCGGTAGTCTCCGAACGGCGAGGACGGCAGCGGGGCGGCGGGCAGCTGGGAGGGGTCCTCGGCAAACGGAGGGCCTGCAGGGCAGAGAGGGGAGCGTTAACCCGTGAGCTCGCACGGCGAGGAACAAGCCCCCGGGAAGGGAAGCCCCCCGTGCGCCGACCGACACGTGTGCGCATCACGCTCACAGCCAGGCACGCGTTCCCTGACACAGGGTCACTCCCCCCATCCGTCCCTCAGAAAACCCTTCCCCTGAGAACCACGGGGCCTCGGACGGGAGTCACTGCCCCCGCCCCCCAAAGCCAGGCACAGCCAACAGCGCGTGTTTTAACGCCTTTCCTTTAAGCGCGCCTTTCCTTTAAGCGCCGGGGGCCGTTCCCAGCGCCCGGACCGACGGGGGAGGACGCTCACCGTTGGGGAACTGCGCGGAGGCGAAGCGCGTCAGCAGGATGCCCGCTCCCTCGATGAGGGCCAGGAGGATGCCGCCCATCGCGGCCGAGCCCACCATGGCCACCGGCCCGTCTGGAACACGGGCGAGAGGCCACGTCAGCGGAGCGCGGGCTCACGGCAGAGGCGGCGAAGGACAGAGCAGTCCACGGCCCGCCCACCGCCCCTGCCCTCGCCCTCTCACCACCCCGGCCGGGCCAACTGCCCCACCAGCTCCCTGCCCGTCCGTGTCAACGACCGCTCCCTCTCCTCCGGACCCTGTGCCCCCCGTTTGTGCGGTGGGGGCTGCTGTCACACGGCGATGGCCGAGCTGCACAGTCGTGGCAGAGACACCCCTACGCCCCCCCCCCCCCCCCCCCCCGAGAGCCACAAAGCCTAAAACGTTTACTACCCGACTCCACAGGCAGTGTGCCAACTCCCAACGCCTGGCTTGAACTGTGGAGCCCACGGGAGTCTGGGCTGTGCTGTGCCGACTCAAGCAATGCGTGTGTGTGTGTGTGTGTGTGTGTGTCAGTGAAGCGGGCACAGAGGGGCACCCCCAGCCGTGTCCGCCAGCGCTTACTTCTGGCGGCCAGGATGGCCCCCGTCAGGGCCCCGCTGCTGATGGAGTTCCAGGGGTCCTCCTTGCCTCGCACCTGCACCAGGCTGCAGTCGATCATGGAGAACAGGCCGCCCCACACCGCAAAGCTGCCTGTTCACGTCCAAACAGAACCACCCAGGTCTCACTTTTCATCTTAAAGTGTCATCACAAAAAAACAAACAAACAAACAAACAAACCAACACGTTCCGCCCTCGCCTGTGTGGCTCAGTGGGCAGAGCTCCACCTTCTCGTAAGCGGAACCGTCTGGGGCCCACAGGGGACACCTGCCTCCTTACCTCCCAGCGGCGGGGCCCTGGTTTTAATGGCCGTCAAGCTCCCCCGCAGCCTGTGGCTCACTCCCTGCGGAGAAGCAGACACACGTGTATTCCAAGGGCCGTCCGTGACCCGGGCAGCAAGCCCAGGCCTCCGGCAGCAGTGACGGCAGAGACAACACGGGACCCCGGCTCACCGCGGGAGAATTGCGAAAGCCTTTGACCGCCTGGAAGATGCCGCCGCCGATGGTGCCCATGGTGAAGGCCCCGCCACAGTCGTCCACGATCCGCCAGGGGCTGGGGGCGGGGGAGAGGGAAGGAGGAAAAGGAGAGATCTTACCTCTCATTCTCACTCATAAACCTCACAGCGTCTTTGCTAACTAACACCGCAGGGTCCTCTGCGACCAATGCGTAGTCTTACGTATCCGGCCCCGAGTCCCCGGAGCCGGGAGCCACGGAGCCGGCTCACGCTTTGCGAGGTGTGCCCGTTGGTGATGCGGATTTTTCCCAATAGATGGAGTCGCACGCATGTTGACATGTGTGCGATTTGACGTGTGTGCTGCTTTGTTGTATTGCTCCTTCGGATGACCCCTTGTTCCAAGTGGCACACGCACTTTCTGAGCAGCCCTTCAAAACTTACTAAGTTGAAAATTGAGTGGTCTGCCTCAAAACAAGAAAAGTTCTATTGGGACGGTACCCACAAATGACCTGGAAGATGGGGAAATCATATAGCTAGCGACGGACATTACTTTGAACAAAGCACTTAAAAAAAAAAAAGAAAAAAAAAAAGCATTTCTTTTTCTTTTTTAAAATATCTATTTTCTTGACTTTTTTTACAGAGAGGAAGAGAAAGGGATAGAGAGCTACTAGGTACATGCCCTTGACAGGAATCGAACCCGGGACCCTTCTGTCCGCAGGCCGATGCTCTATCCACTGAGCCACACCGGCTGGGCCAAGGGTGTCCATTATGGTCATTGCCTCTGACAATCAGGGACGGGCTATCCACCGAGCCAAACCAGCCAGGGCGAACAGAGCACTTTGGATGTCTCTCTTGGAATTCTCGTGTCTTCTCTGATGACAAAACCCGTATTATTAACTGGTACACCTAGTCCTCATTCATTCAACAGAAGTCGGGGTGAGGGGGAGCCCCTGCCAAAGCCAGTAGACCCTGTACAATGTAAGTAACGCCGGGGAGAGGTCATATTACTCTCAGGAAGGTGACCCCTCCCTGCCCTGACAGGGGGCAGGAGAGTCACCCCAAACAAGGGGGTTTCTCACTCAGGACCCCAGGAGCCTTCAACGCGGGCAACCCGGGAAGGCGATCGCCCCCTCTGCGGTGACCGCCCCGTGTGCCTGCCTTCCTCCTGCTCTCATCCTGAGCCTAACAAAACCCCTCCCTCCGTGACTGCCGAATGGATGAATGAGTGAATGAGTGAGTGAGTGAATGGGTGAGTGAGTGAGTGAATGGGTGAGTGAATGAGTGAATGAGTGAGTGAATGAATGAGTGAGGGAATGAATGAGTGAATGAGTGAGGGAATGAGTGAGTGAATGAGTGAGGGAATGAATGAGTGAGTGAATGAGGGAATGAATGAGTGAGTGAATGAGTGAATGAGGGAATGAATGAGTGAATGAGTGAGGGAATGAATGAGTAAGTGAATGAGGGAATGAATGAGTGAGTGAATGAGTGAATGAGTGAGTGAATGAGTGAGTGAATGAGTGAGTGAATGAGTGAGTGAGGGAATGAATGAGTGAGTGAATGAGTGAGGGAATGAATGAGTGAGTGAATGAGTGAGTGAATGAATGAGTGAATGAGTGAGTGAATGGGTGAATGAGTAAATGAATGGGTGAATGAGTAAATGAATAAGTGAATGAGTGAATGAGTGAATCAGTGAGTGTGTGAATCAGTGAGTGTGTGAATGAGTGAGTGAATGGGTGAGTGAATAAGTGAATGAGTGAGTAAATGAATAAGTGAATGAGTGAATGAATGAGTGAATGAATGAATGAATCAGTGAGAGAGTGAGTGAGGGAATGAGAGAATCTCCCTTTGGGGTAAAATCGTGGGAAACGCCCCGCCCGGCGGGCAGGCATCGCGACACCAAAGCCCGGGAACGGCGCCCGGAGACCAGACACGCGCCCGGGGTGACCTGGGCCGGCGGCGGGCCGGTGTGACCCCCACACACAAGGCCGGCGCGGCCCGGGGTGGGAGCGGGGCTCCGGGGCTCCCTCCCGCCGGAGCCCGGACCGCGGCCCCGGCCACCGCAAGGTCACGGGGGCGGGGCGCGGCGTGCGGGAGGCCCGCGTGGGGGGACCCGAGGGGCCGCTTCCGCCCGCGGCTCCCGGGCCGGCGTCGTCGCCCTGGGGGCCTGGGAGGCCGAGGAGGGCGGCGGGCGACCGGCAGGGCCCGGCGAGGAGGACGCCGGTCCACTCACCAGGGCTCCCGCGCGTACTCCTCCATCTTGACTCGGGCGCGCGAGCGACGCCGGGAGAGCGGGGCGAGCCGTGAACCGGAAGCGGAAGTGCCCCCAGCGG